AGGAGTGCACTTTTGTATCTACAGAGCAGGCGTTTTATCCAGAGTTCACAAGGAAAAAGGGGGGGTGGGGGCAGAGAAGTGTGGTTTTAGGTCTACTGTATCACTAAGTTAACTAGCAGGCAGGGCCCACTGAGGATTGCATATTCTGTCACTAATCAATGTCTTGTTTGACAAGATAGATGGAGGGAGTGTACATGTCTTAAGTCTAGGATATACATAATGAGGAGTCCAGGATGCATATAATGAGATAAGAAGTTAGTATAGACAGTCTGGTGGGTACCAAATATCTTTATGAGCCAGTACAAAGCCCGTTCAAACTAATAATTCCTATAGGTGCAGTCTGTTACTGTACCAGGGAGAGAGATAAGTGTTTTGTCGGGGCCCACTCATGAGTAATTGCTAGGCACAGTGTCCTTGGGCTGGGGAGAAACTGCCAGGGATAGTGTTTTTGAGGCTAGGGAGAAATATAGTTTTGGAATTAGGGTCCAAGCACAAGCACCCAAGCCTTCTATCAGTTCTAAATTTCTTTCCAGAATGGGTAAACCAATTCACAACTACAAGAACAGTCTCTCAATGTGCCTATTTTCCCACAGATCTCCGTGTCATTTTCTTTGTTTTCACCTTTGCCAATCTAATGGATATGAGGTTTCTTTTTCTGTGTTGACTCTTCTTAGCTTAGGCATCAAGACCATATTTGTAACAAAGAAATAATTTGATAGAGTCTCCCCCTCCAACTTTTTCAAATAGTTCTGTAGTTTTGGGATTATTATTTAATAATTGAGAGGATTTGCTTATAAACTCATATTACCCAGAGTTTCCTTTATTTGAGGAACCATATATAACTTTAATTTCTTTCTCTGAATTTGTTAAGAGCTATATTTCTTGTTTTGTTAATCTGGACATTTTATATTTTTGTCAATAGTGATCCATTTTAGAGTATCACTTTTATTAGTTATACAACTAGGTGAACTAGTTTCTAATGATGTATTTCTTCTTTAATTTTGAATTCACCTTTTTAGTACTGGTAATTTGGCTTTCTTCTTTACTTTTTTAAACAAATTAACTAATGGTGTGTCTAAGATATTAGCTTGTTCCCAAAACCAATAAGTATTTAGTGTTATTTACTAATTAAATCCTTTTTTTTGCTTTCAATTTTATTGATCTCTTCTTTGATTTTCAGGATTCCTATTTTGGTGTTCAATTGGAATTTCATTTGTTGGTTTTCTAAGTTTTTTTGATTGTATGCCCAACCCATTTTTCTTCTCTTTCTTTTCTTTTATTGATGAAAGCATTTAGGCATATATATATTTTCCCCAAAAGACTGCTTCGTCTCCATCCCAAAAATTTTGAAATGCTATCTTTAATGAAATTACCAATTGCTTCTGTGATTTGTTCTCTGCCTCATGCATTGTTTACAATATTAAGTCTTTAATTTTTCATTTTTTTCAATAGCCCTTTATTTAATATAATTTTTCTTACACATCATGATACATAAAAGACGGGCTTAATATTTTGATTTTCTATTTGTTTTTGAGGTTTTTATGTCCTAAAACATAGTCAACTTTTTTAAGTTTCCATGCATAGCTGACAAATAAGATCAACTCATTTGTATTCCCATTCAACAATCTAATAGACCTTTAGGTCTATCAGAAGTAGCTTTTCTAAAATTCTATTCAGATCTTTCCTTCCTATCTATTTCGTGATCACATCACAGTCTGAAAGAGGTAAGTAGAGATTTCCCAATATTGTAATTCTACTATCAACTTCTCCTTGTAATTCATTTAAACTTTAAGCATTTAGATGCTATGCTATTTGGTGTATGCATACTTAATATTAATTCATTTACTTTGTACCTTTCAACAAAATGTAGTTTCCCTGTTTATCTCTTTTAATTATCTATTTTTGTTGATGCCTTGACTCAAATCGTGATTGCCATCCTTTGTCTTTTTTACTTAAGTTGAAGTAAAACATATATTGTTCCTTATTTTAATTCTAAGTGTATTTTTCTGTTCTGAATGTTTCTTGTAAATAAAATATCGCTGAATTCTGTATTCTGATATATTCAATTAATTAATCAATAAACATTTATTAAGCACCTACTATGTGCCAGGCACTATGTAGAGGATACAAAAAACAGGCAAAAGCTGCCTTCAAGGAGGTTACAATATAATGGAGGAGACAGCAAGAAAACGAAACAAGCTATATACTGGATAGTCAGAAAATAACAGAGGGAAAGCACTGGAATAAAGGGGTTGGGGAAAGCTTTCCACAGAAAATAGAATTTTAGTTGGGACTTAAAGGGAGCCAGAGAAAATGCCCAGGGAGAGGCAGGTGGTACAGTAGATACAGCACTGGCCGTGAAGTCAGGAGGACCTGAGTTCAAATCTGACCCCTCACTTACTAGCTAGTGACCCTGGGCAAGTCACTTAACCCCCACTGCCTCTTTAAAAAAAAAAAAAGGAAAGAAAATGCCCAGGGAGTAAGGTATAAGGTAATTGGGCCTGGGTTAGGAAGGGCTTCCAATGCCAGAGTATTTTGTACTTGCTCCTGGAGGCAAAAGGGAGTAACTGGAGTTTAACTGGTGGTGGGGAATGGGGGGAAATCAGACCTGCATTTTAGGAAAATCACTTTTTGAGACTGAATGGAGAATGGATTGGAAAGGGGAGAAAACTGAAGTGGCAAACCCACCAGCAGGTTATTGCAGGAGTCCAGGTGTGAGAAGATGAGAGACTTGCACTAGAGTGGTGAAAATATTCAAGCGATGCTGCAAAGTCATGAGTTCATACCATTCAAATTCATAGTTAATATCACTATTTCCCTCATACTAATTTCTTATGCTCCCATTCCATGCCCTGCTGCAGCTGTTCAGTTGCTTTTCAGTCACGTCCAACTCTTTGTGATTCCCCATTTGGGGTCTTCTTGGCAGAGTTATTGGAATGCCTTGCCATTTCCTTCTCCTGCTCATTTTACAGATGAGAAACTAAGGCAAACAGGATTAAGTGACTTGCCCAGGGTCACACAGCTGTTAAGTATCTGAGGCCAGATTAGAACTCAGGAAGATGAGTCTTCCTGACTCCAGGTTCAGTGCTCTATCTGCTGTGCCACCCAGCTGCCTTTCCCTTCACTTAACCTTCTTCTTATTTCCCTTTCACCTCTTTCCCACGTTTCCCTATTCAGTGTAAAACATTCCCAATCATACAAGAATCTTCTGAGAACTGATCATGCAATATCTACAAAAACATTTCTTATCTCTTCAATAAATGCTAAAACACAAACAAAATGGCATAGTGAATATATGACTCTAAATATAAATACTAGGTAATAATGGAGGTTGGGGTGGTAAAAGGAATAGCCTTCCTGCGCCAGAAGCCTATTGCTTTCAATTTGTAAAGATTTAAGGGAATATAGAATTTAAATATATTTGGACTCCACTACATTGCGTAAAATCTTTCCTTTTTTTTTGTGCAGGCCACATATTATACTAAAATTTAGCTACCTAGCTATGATCACCTTTCAGAATTAGCTATTATATGTTTCCCTAAAATATTACCACCACAGCTTTCCTTTTAATAAACTTTTAAATGTCCTAATTTTTCATTTTCTTGCATTTTTTTCTTTTAGCTTAAAGAGGTAACTTTAATTTATTCTCCCTTTTAACTGAGATATATTTTAATCTTCAAAAACTTGACAATTCTTTTAAGGGTTAATTTCATTACAGCATGCAGTATGAGGGCATATATCTTTTGTGTTTAAAAAAAAATTTTAAGGTATAAAAGGAACCACAAGTAAATCTCCTGAGTCAAATCACCTGTATGGTATCTTTTGCTCTATTATTACCAGGAACCCATTAAGATCAATTAAAATGATTTCTCCTAGGAGTGAGTGTTCAATAAACATCCCAAACAGTAATCCTATTTTACACGTACAATATACAGTGGTTTTCTTCCAAAGATGGCAAATATTCTTATGATATCTGATAAACCATCATTCTGAGCCTCATCTATAAAATGAAGGATTTTGACTAGATGCATGAGGTCCCTTATAGCTTTAAATTCTATGAGAATACATATTTACAAAAGTTTTCTCCACTTTGAAGCCAGAGTGAAAGCAGAGCTCCTAAAACACTATATATAATTATATTTCATGGTTCATAGAGAAATATAAAGAAAACTGAAAAACATAAGGGTCTTTTTTGTTCAACTAGAATTTAACACTGAAGAAATTTCAAGTAGATATTACAGATAACAATTTCAGAAAAAACATATTCTATCCTCTTAGTTACAAAGGATGGCATTTTTAGGCTAACAGACTAAAAGAGTCTTATAATGTACAAATGAAAGTAACACACTGATCAATCACAGAAGGATTATTATTGCTACTAATTTTGCTTTTTTCTATCAAAGATGAAAAGTTTTCATTTGTGTTTGGCTTAAACTGAAAAAGGATGGCTGAATATTAGATGAGGACTGAATTTCTCTTTAAAATGTATGTGACTTTATTTCTTTATATATACACCTTTTCTGGCTGTGCCAACCTAGCAGTGGATGGTTTTATCAAATGCTCTTTTACAGTTAAGGTAGCTATTTCCATGGAAACCACAGAGCAGCCATTCATTATAACTGCCAAGATCTTTCTCTGTGCTCTCTTAAATACAAATAGCTGCTCATTTTATTTTATTCATCTTTTAACTGAACAACGATCAGTTTTTCTTAACAGTTAGCTTCTCCTATATGTCCACATAAAGAACAATGTAAGAGGTCACAAAAAACTGAGTGCCTAAATCTTTAGATACCAAAAAACCCTAGAGATAACACATACAGAAGAGATAATGTTATCCCCTGCTAGGTAGGTGGGATAGAATAAACGTCACTGAAAAATTCAACAGAGAAGGAAATGTCTATTTCCCCTAGAATAACAAAACAGATAATTGTGTCTAGGAAGAGATGCTAGCAAAAAAACAAAAATAAGGATAATGACAATAAAGAAGTTAAGACACTCACCTCTCTCAACATATTGCTCTCTTTTTCCTTTTGTTCCAGGAGACTTTCCAGGTGGTGTACATGCATCTCTGCCTCAGCCAGCCGTCTTGTTCTCTCATGGTCTTCCTCAGTAGCCTTGGCAGACAGTCCTTTACTCTGCAACATCTCCAAGAGCTTTTTTATGGACTCATCCCGTGCATTCAGTGTTTGTTTCTGAGTCTCAATGCGCAGCTCCATTTCTTCAAGGGTCTTACGAAGAAGGAAGAGTTCCTTGGCTTGCCTCTCATGTTCAGCATGTAGCCTCTGAAAGTTCTCCTCAGTCAGCTCTGCTGCAAAGGGTTCACTAGCTCTGCTACTACTGTCTTGCTGAAATAGCTGGTTTAGGTCCCTCTGGATCCGCAATTCATCCTGGAGAGCCTGGATTGTCATCTGCATGTGCTTTAATGACAAAAAAACACCAAAAATCCTAAATCAGTGATTTGCTATAGAGCAACAACAGAGTTACTTAGATCCTCTGGGGAAGCTAGGAATAACTAAGGACATTTCTCATAACCCTACACTTTACACTAGAGATGTAGTCTTTCTTCTTATTTTATCCTCAAATGAAGGAGAGAAAAACTGATCTGCAAAATGCCAGCAGTTCAACCATTACCATTAATAATTCTGAAAGGAATTAACCAAGATCTAAAATCTCTCAAAACACACATGAGTAATTTATCTTACACATGTGTATTCTAGGGAATCAGTGTGATCACAAATACCCCAGAAAATTAAGCAAAAAAAAACCACCTTTTCTTGCCTGTCAACAGCAGAGGCTAAACAACTGTAACGGTATGTATACAGCTGACATAAACATTAACAAAATTAAGGCACTAGTCACCACTGATAACATTTAATTGAAAGGGGACAGGGCAGCGCAAACACACACACACACACACACACACACACACACACACGTAAAGACTCAATTCATCAAATCACAATGGATGCACTTATTACTAGAGAGAGAGTTCAGAGAAACCACAGTGGTTGAGTCCAAAATGTACATTAACATCCCCCTCTGCAATATATACAATAAATTATCATTTGCTTAAAAACTATCAATAAGACTATTTAAGTCACTCCAAGTTCTACCCATTACTCCTAATTCTGCCCTCTGGGGACAAGAAGGGCAAATCTAATACCTCTGAATACTTAAGAGGAGCTATCATGTACAGGCTAATACTTCTCTTCTCCAGTTCCTTTTACCAGTACTTAGATGTTATAGTCTCTGTGCCCTTCATCCTCTTTGTCTCCCTCTCCCTCAATCTTATTAATGTCCTTCCTAAAAGTGACATTTAACTGTGGTTTGAGCACAGCAGAGTACAGTAGAACTATTTCCTCCCTTGCTTTGAAAAACGTTTTAATTCAAACCACACTTTTAATTCAGCCTAAGATTGCATTTGCTTGTTTGTTAAACTATATTGCTGACTAAATAGAAGAGATCTTTTTCAACTGAACTGGTATCTAGCTACACATCTCACACATCTTGAATCTGTGAAGTTGATTTTTTTTAACCCAAGAATAAAACTTTAAATTTATCCCTATTAGAATTCATCTAATTCGATCTGCCCAACATTACATTCCATCAAGACATCTTTGGATCCAACTTTGGCATACAAATCTCAGTTATTCCTCCTACAATGGCATCCTTCATAGTACCATTCTGGTGCCACCTTTTCTGAATCCCCCCCAATATCAACACTCTCATCTTTGAAATCACTTTACATTATTTGTATGTCCTTCATATTTATATACATGAACATGTTGCATTCTCTCAGAAGAACTTAAGTTCCTCAAGGATAGAACTGTTTTTACCTTTGTATCCACAGCATTTTATAGAGCAGACAATAAGTGCTTGGGGAAATGAATTTTAAAATATAAGTAGATATACTTATTACTTTAGAATTATGATTTATTACTAAGAAGTAATAACTAGTTTCCATATACTGCAGAAGTCAATTTTACATGTCTAGTAATTAAAAACTGAAATGTAATTAAAAAGCAAAAAAAGAAACAAAACAAAGTAATAACCCTTCCTTTGTTTTCATAGTTAACCAATGGAACATAAGCTAATAAAAATAACCAATTGACTTTGGAAACTGAGGCCTTGGACATATGTGAGAGGACCTAATTAGTCTACTTCTATAGTCTAAAAGATTAATAATTAAACTTTGGTTCATCCTATGGAAGGAATACTGGCCACAGTGTCTAAAAACACACATATTTTATTCTCTGATTTCCGTTACTTTTATTGGTTGACCTTGGTTAGTTACTTAAGCTCTCTAGGCTACAGTTTTCTCATCTGTAAATAGCTACAGTAATATCCATACTATCTACCTTAAATTGTTGCAAAAATTTGTTTCTTTTTCTCTGCCCTCCCAAAAAAGGAAGTTAGGCACTATAGGACTAATTTTTCCATGCTGGAAATATTTTAACAACTTCAAAAATTACTTTCTACAAATATATATATATATATATGTACACACACATGTTTACATATGTGTGTATATAGATGTATATATCACATTTGGAACATGTAACCTTTCATATTCATAGAAATATTTACAGAACTCATCAGTAAATGGTTCAATGCTGTTGAAGCAGAACTTGATTATAGCTAACATTTGACACATGCTTGAGCACAGATACTTGAATTTGGTATAGCAAGTATTCATTTAGTAAAAAGGGAAGTGAATAATAGTGCCTCCTATGCGCTAGGTTTTGTGCTAAGTACTTTTTATAAATATTATCTCATGTGAGCCTCACAATAAAATGACTTCTGACTCCAAGCCCAGTGCTCTATCCCCTCTGCCACCTAGCTATCTGGCCATGTCTGTTTCTCTAATTTTCTTAACACCTATTTTAAAACTGTAATCCAGAAACAGAACTAATTCCCTACAGGTCAAAGAGATGTTTCAAAATAGCTGCATAAACCTCATAAAGTTGTCCTGTAAAGGGACAGAGTTCTCCCTAGTACTGCTGGCAAGGGCAGTCACAGGAAGAAGCATTTAAATTACCCTGTCACTCAGTCTGGAGGAATCTTTGAAAGACACCAGAAGACTGGGTATTTGCAAAGAACCATCAAGTCTATGCAGGCATCTTGGAATCAAGATCTTGAACTAAAGCTGCAAATTAGCAATGATGACAGAAGATGGGAATAACCAATGCTGGATGGGTTATGGGAAGACAGGCATCCTGGTGCATTGTTAGGGAAGCAGTAAATCCATATGCCCATTTCAGAAAACAATATGGAATTATGCAAATAAAGTAACTAAAATGTCCATATCCTTTGACTCAGAGATTCCATTACTGGGCTTATACCCCAAAGACCTCATATATACCAAAATATTTATAACGGCATTTTTTTTTGTGATAGCAAAGAACTGGCAACAAAGTAGATGCCCATCAGTTGGAGAATGACTAAACAAATTGTGGTATATGAATGTAACAGAATATTACTGTGCATAAGAAATGAAATTTGATGAATATAGACAAGCATGGACTAATGCAGTGTGAAGCAGGCAGAGCCAAGAAAACAATATGTACAATGACAACAACAATGTAAATGAAAAGAACCACAGACAAAAAAATCAAAAGTGACTACTGCAAAATTATAAAAAAAAAACATGACTCAAAGAAGAGATATGAGAAAGTATTCCAAACCCACTCCTTGGAAGAGGTAGAAAATGCACAAATATTCAATACTGTACATAGTTTCAGACTTTTTTGATTTTGGTAACATTTCAAAAATCAGTTGATTTTTCCTATTTTTTTTTCTTTTTTTGTCCTTAAAAATATACTATATGTTATATGGAATGGCTCTCAAGAAGGGACAGGGAAAGGTTACTGGGAAAGATTGCTGGTAGAAACTAAAATGATATAAAAAACAAAACATCAATAAAAAGTTATTACTTAAAAAAAGAAACATTATTGTCCCATAAGAAACAAAAAAGACTATTTCAGAGAATGCTAGGAAGTAAGAATAGTAAGAAGATACAGAGTGACATGAGCAGAACTAGGAGAATAATTTAGTAACTGTCAACACTAAAGACTCTTATCTGTAAGATAAAAACTGTAAAAACTTCAAAAGACTTGTCAAACTGATCAAAGCAATGACTAACCACATTTCCAGAGGGCCTATAATGAAGCATATTACCCAACTCTTGACACATGCAAGGCATAGAGGTAGATGTACATTTTTGGATAGGGCCACCATGTGGATATATAGACTGTGCTTATTTGTTTTGAGTAGTTTTTTTCTTCTATTTCTAATTGGAAAGACAGCACTATGGAAAGGGCAGAAAGGGTAATAAGGAAAAAAGAAAAGGCCAGAGTAATAATCTGAAAAGTGCACAGAGGAGAAGAGAACAAACCAAGTGCAGAAGGACACAGAGATAAGCAGGTCAATTTTGAAAGTAATATGTTAAATTTATAATATGTATGTGATATGTATAACATGCATATATGTACACTTATGATATACACATATCAAATTGTGATATACATATATGCATATATAATACATACAAAAGCAAACCTATGGAAAAGAGATTCATAGCTTATGTTCTACACAGAAATGCTCTTTTCTGATGTTTGTAAAATTCAAAATGCTTAAATTTAATTAAAAAATAAACTAATAAAAGAAAAGAATGCATTATGCAAGCATGTACTATGTGTCAAGCACTGTAGTAAGAGCTCAGAGTACACAATAAGAGTTTATATTCTAACAGAAGACAACACTTACAAGGCAGTTAGTGGCCAAGGTGAAGCATTTTGGTTTAGGAAGTTAAAAGTATGGTAAGCAGATAGGGAAAATGCCCTTTCTAGAATCAATGGTGGTACTGATGGTTTCAAAAGTAGAAAGGGAGGAATGGGGTGAAGTTTAGGATCTGAATCAATTGAGGGCATGAGGAGAAATGGGAATCTTAGCTGGACCCTGCCACTTGAAATACTCTTCACTGAGGCCATGGGAGTAAGGGGAGCCTCCAAGGGCAAATTCTAGAAGTCATAAGGCTAAGTCCTCCAGAACATGGTCTCTGATACTGCAGAAGTTCTATTAAAGTTCATACATTTGGTTATTTTGAGAGGAAAAAAATATAATTTTAAAGAACTACATGAAATTCAATAATTTAATCTGCAAACCATCTTTTATCATGCTCCTGGGTTTGTTTGTTTTTTCTTGTTTTTTTAAGTTACAACCTTTGCTGTAAAGAGCTTCAGTCGGCTAGGCTAACATCTAGAACTGAATCCCTGTAACAAAGAATTGTTATAAAGTTTAAACTAATTCTGCAAGACAGAAAAATACTGGTCTACCCTATAAAGACACTCGCACCAACGTTCTCACTAAATAGACTTAAGACTGAAACAGGGATTTAAATCTGTAGGAAACTCAATTT